TGAATCCCATTAATAAAAAGGTCCAGATGTTGCAAATGGTAAGGACTTTCTTGACCTTGCCCTTCAGGACAAGAGGGAGGAAGAGGTGGAAGAGGTGGATGTTGCCGACAACATTGGTCTGCGATAGCTGCGATGAAACAGCATCAACCTCCTCGACCTTGTCGCTCCTGTTGAACACATCGCATTAATTTACAGACCAGCCCGGAGACAGTAGCCAGAAGGAAGTAGACCTACAATGCGCCGATGGGTCCATAGGTGTCGAGGTAGGGCACCAAAGCTCCGTTGGCCACCAGATAGTCGATGCCACGCTCGCCGATGGTCTCGGCCGTGTCGGCAGCGGCTTGCTTCAGGCTGGCGTACTTGGTGAGGTCTGCATGGAGGATGTGGATATTGGGACGGTCGCCCAGCTCTGCCGCTATCTTCTTCTCGGTCGCAGCTTTGTCGCGGACCAGACCGACAACCAGGTTCTTCTGGTCTTCCCAGATCTGCCTAAGGAACTCGAACTAGGCTGGAATTAGATAAAGACGGTGCGTTACGCGGAAAAATCAGACTCACCCCGATTCCCTTGGACACTCCAGTGATAACGTAAACGGACATGTTGAGTGAGTGCGTAATGATTCTAAGTTGGATAAATTGTGTGTGTATATGTGTAGAAAGCGATAAGGACCTTGTCTCGAATGTTATAATTCGGTTGATTTGATAGAAAAGAGATCTATAAACGGGAATCATATTACATGCCAGGTGCTTAATACTACTACCCGATTAATAATAGATATCTAGAAACTTGCCTTCAATCTCCCTTGACGTAAGACATTCAGCGTATATTACATATATAGTAGAGTAGAATAGTTTCAGATAGACTTGGCAAACATTCGATTGAATTAATCCCTTATTAGTTAGACGAAAAGTATTAAGATGTCGGAGCCGAGAGAGATACGGAATATATTTCGACTAGATAGATCTCGTATCTCTAAATAAGAACGATTAAAGTAAGTAACGGGATTTATTTATAGTAAATCCTTATACTAATAATCTATATAATACTTTTAGAATATTAATATACTCATCTAATAGCGGCACGAGTTAAGAGTCTTAAACTTAAACTTTTTACTTTTACTATACTTAGCCTTAAAGTTCGTTTCCTCGCTTTCTATTACGTATTAAGCTTAATATATTAAAATAAGTATACTATATAAGTTAATTACGTATATTAGCCTTTAAACTAGATAGTTATAATCTTATTTCTTAAAACTACTCTTATTAGATTATATATAGATTAATATTTAATAAATTTAATTAAACTTAGTAAGTCTTCTTAGTTTACGCCGTCGTAGATCTATAAAAGAGATATTATTCTCGTACTTTTTTTTACTTATTAAAATAAGTAATATATATAGTCTACGTAACGAACTTAATTTAGAATAGTTTCTCTTCGATAGTCTCTCGTTTATACTAATATAGTCTCTCGCGTATAATTTATATATTAAGCTTTTAATCTCTAAGTTATTAAATTAAGATAAAAGATAATATTAATTCTTTATATTATACGAGTTTAGATCTATAAATTAAATTTATAATCTATTTTTTTAATTAGAATTATCGAGTAAATTTAATAAGTGAACTTTAATAAGCGATATTTAAATTCTTTATCTCTAAATAATTATAAGACTAAATTTTAGAATTTTCTAAAATATTAAAATATATAAATTATACTCTATAATTTAAAAAAAAATCGTAAGATTTTATTAGAAAATAAAAAAGCTATTTTAAATTTAAATAATATATCTATTTTTTCGATTAGAGCTATCGAGCGAACTTTAAGAAATAATATTTAAACTTCTTATCGTTAAATAATTATAAAACTAAATTTTTTAATTTTTAAATTATTAAAACGCGTAATCTATACTCTATAATTTTAAAAAAAAATTAAAAATTTAATAGAAAATAATAAAGTTATTAAAGAGTTAAAAATAGAGTAAGAGATTTTAATAGTTACGAATATATTAAGAAATTAATATAATATAACTTATAAATATAATATAGTAGAAAGATATTTATTAACTATATACTTATAGAGTAGATATATATAAAGAAAGACGCGTTAAGATCTAATTAGAAAGATATAGCGAGTATAGAAAATTAATTCGTAATAGAACGCTAATTTATTTACTCGTAGTATCTAATTAAAAAGCGTAATAACTCTAAATTTATAATTGACTATATATATAAATTTAAGATTTTTTTAACTTAACTCTATCTTATTCTTTTATATATATTAATTTAAATATATTATTTAATATATTATTTATTTAATAAAATTTGATAGTAAAAAGTATTAAAAAATAAAAAATAATATTATAAATTTATATATAATTATAAGATACGAGTAAAGGCCTATAAATTAAATTTATAATCGTTTTTTTAATTAGAGCTATCGAGTAAATTTAATAAGCGATCTTTAATAAGCGATATTTAAATTCTTTATCTTTAAAGAACTATAAGACTAAATTTTAAGATTCTTTTTTTATCTAAAAGCCTATATTACGTTCTATAATTTAAAAGAAGAATCTTAAAATTTTAATAGAAATAAAAAAGTTATTCTAAAATTAGATAATATATATCTATTTTTTAATTAAGACTATCGAGCGAATTAAATAAGCGAATTTTAATAAGCTATTATGAGATATCTCTAGAGATACTTATAGAATTACTAGCGTAGACTTAGTATGTATATATCTATTTATAAATTACATAGATTAATTAATAACTTTATACTATATATATATATAAGTTAAATTATAATAATTTCTTAATAATTAATAATAAGATTTTAAGATTTAATTTTACTTAATTCTATAATATAGTAGACGTCTCTACGAGTTATATCTATATTATATATTTATATAAAATCTATATTAATATCTAATAACATAACGCTTTAATCTAGCTCTTATATATACTTCGTAGTTATCGAGTTTATTATTTAAGATAACGTTTATATATTTTTCGTCTCGATCTATCGATATCGATATTAATGAATTTATACGCTAAGAGACTTACCTTATTTACGTTATAGTTATTACTGTATATTTAAGTATCTCTATCGTAGCCCATACTAGCTTTTATCGAGAATTCGACTTTACTTTTCTATCTTCGAATCTAATAATATACTTACTATACGATTTTAATTCTTATAACTAAGATAGTAATAATCTATTCGATTTTCACGCTACTCGATTATCGAAGTATTTATTTATACGTATAATATAGTAGAAGAAGAAGTATCGAAATTAGAAGACTTACTAGTAATATATAAGAAGGTCCTCTAAAAGTTATTATTTAGTAAGAGAAGAGAATATTATAGTAGATAATTACGGAGAATACTACGAAGAAAGTAAGCGATAACGAGATTATTATTAATAAGAATACGACTTAGCTCTCTAAAATCCTACGTTATATACTCTTTACGATTTTACGATATATTACTACTTAGTAGACGAAGAATAATATTATAATTTAATCTACTATCTCTACGCGTCTTAATAATATTATATTAATGTAATATATTACTAGAATAACGTTTTAGAAGAATAATCTACTACGATAATTATAGTTAATTAAATCTCTATAGATAAGAAATATCGAATAATATATATTTAAATGAATTAAAATCGTCTAATATCTTACTTCGATAGTTATTTTATTATTTAAAAGTTTTTTATTTTAGTAGGAGATTTTTTAGAATACACATTACTAATTAGCTAGATATTTTTAATTCTTTTCGATTTTTCGAAAGAGCATATATGTATGCATGCTTCTTGCTATGAGCGATATGATATTTCTCTATTTTTTATAAGTAATTATTATAAGATATCTTAGAAATATCTATAGAGCTACTAGCGTAGACTTAATATCGTATATATCTACTTTATAAACTATATAAATTAATTAATATCTTTTTACATCACATATATATATGAGTTAAATTATAATAATTTATTTAAAATAAGCGATATTTGAGATTCTTATTCTTTAATAATTAGAAGACTAAATTTTAGGAGTTTTTACGTTATTAAAAAGCCGAAAGTTATAGACTATAATTTAAAAAAAAATCTAAAAAAATGAATAGAAAATAGTAAAGTTATTTAGGGGTTAAAAGTAGAGTAAGAGATTTTTTTAATAGTTATAAATACTAATATATCTACTCGCGATAATTTAATCGATCTAATTAAAGAGCGTAAATCTAATAAATTTATAATTAGTTATATATATAAGTTTAAGATTTTATAATTTAGCTCTATCTTATTCTATTATAGATATTAATTAATTATTTTATATAATTATAAAGTAAATTAATATAATATTAAAGTAAATTAATATAATATTAAATTTAAATTAATATAGAATTTAATTAGAATTTAATTTATAATATTATAAATAGAATATATATATATAAGATCTATAGATTCTTAAATCTTAATATATTAAACTTAATTAAATTATATAATATTAAAAAATTAAAATTATATTATTACTATACTCTATATTTTTTAAATTTTTAAATTTTATTAATTTATATAAGAGTATTAATATATATAAAAGAATAAGATAAAGCTAAGTTAGAAAGTTTTAAATTTATATATATAGTTAATTATAAATTCGATAGATCTACGCTTTTTAATTAGATATCGCGGGTAAATAAATTAACATTCGTAATTTTATTAAAATATTCTTTTACTACCTTTAATCATTTAATAACTTTACAATTTTCTATTAAAATTCGTTAATTTTTTTTAAATTTTTAGTTAGCAGCTTAATATTTTTAAGAATAAAAAGAGTCTTAAAATTTAATCTTATAGTTCTTCAAAGGTAAAGAATTCAAATATCGCTTATTAAAGATCGCTTATTAAAATTTACTCGATAGCTCTAATAAAAAAAAATAGTTCTAAATTTAATTCATAGATCTTTACTCGTTTATAATATTAAGTTACTTATTATCTAAATAGTAAAAGTAACTCGTATATTATTTTAAACTCGCAAATAGTTTAGAAGAAGGAGTTTATTTACGTATATATTTCATATATAAATTTAATAGTCTTCTCTTATTATCAAGTATAATATCGTCGTTCGAAAGGCTTTAAACTATAATAGACGATAACGGTTAAATGACTAGCTATTTAGATAGAGAATTATTTAATAAGATATAGACAATTTTCAATTATATTAGGAATATATTAGTCTTTATTTAATTAGAGTAGCGAGGCTTTTTAATACTATAATAGTCTTTATTTAATCTCTTTTTTAAATATTATTATAAATAAATTATTAAATTTAATTAAAAAGATTAATAATTAAATAATTTTATACTTAATTAAAATATCTATATTTCTAATTTATTTTTATATCTCTATTTATAATTTAATTATTAAAAATATTTATATTAATTTAAATTTCTTTTATTATATTAATATAAGTAAAGACCTATAAATTAAATTTATGAAGTTAAATTTTTCTAAGTTAAAAATCGAACTCTAATCGCTTACTATACGTTTTTAATCTACTTTTACTATTATAAAATTAATAAAGAAGATAAAAGC